ATAATACTCATCATCAAGTAAAGTGTATAAAAATGGACGGTGTTATCACAATTTTACTGACTTAGGGATTATAATGTAGTGTTTATACTGTTAACCAGTACTTTGATTTAAACTAGCTCAGGTGATTTGACAATTAAAGACTTTTCAAAGTAGACGAATTAAGTAATATATCTGGCGCCGTTTGCATAGGGTAAATTAGATAACACTGCATAAGGAGACTTGTTCAATAAGTTAGAAAAACTTGTTTCCTTGTATGTTCGATATTATATTTTCCAAGAAGTATTTTCATTATTATAAATGTTACGAGTATTTTTACGAGTTTCTAATTTTATGTTCTTAACAGGAATCATTATTTTTCTTTTTAACTTGAGTAGTTGTTAAAATTTTTCACAAAGCAAGATTTGTAGTGTAGACATTATATTCCAGTCTTCTAGACAAGTTAATATGAGTGTATTTAAGCACTGGGATCACTATACAAATATTTATTTTGCTCGAGAAGAAAGTTCTTCGTGACTAAACCATGCAGTTGACAGCTAACCAATAATTCTGATGAAAAGAATTGATTTGCGGGATGGAAAGTAATGGCTAAGTGTTGTACGACATGTAATCAATTGCTTGTTAAATGGCCTCAGTAATAAAACAATTATGTCAAGGCAGTCAATTAACTCAATATCGTTTTTATATTGTATTTCAAACTGGATTGCATGTCTGGGACAATGAAGGACGAATGCCATAAATGCCAAACATCTATATATTCACCAAAAACAAAAATGAAAAGAGAATGTGCACTTGTTTTGTACTGGCTTTGGTAACGATAAAAAGGACCGGGTTTTGACATCGAAGAAATGCACTGACCTTGGAGACGATAGAAAGAAATCGATGTTGGCTTCGATAGAAATGTACATGCTTTAGTAACGATGTTACGCACAAGTTTTCATTTCAATGGAAATGTAATAGAAATGTACAGTCTTTGCTTACCACATAATGTACTGGTTTTGTCAATTTTGGTTTCAGTAGATTGTACTGACTTTGGTTGCGGAAGAATAGCTTAGTGTTGGTTTCCGTACAATGTACTTTGGCCCAAAACTACTTCGGTAGAATTTACTGTTGTTGTTGTTGTTTTTCTTTTGGTACTAGTTTATGTGACAACGAGGTGGTACGTCTTTTCTATGTTTTTGTTTTCCTATCAAACGGTGCTATGAAATACCCACCGCTAACTAACAAAACAAAATCCAGTTTGAATTCTATTAAAACATGCTTTCTTCAAGAACAAAAAGGAGAAACCAAACAGAATATCTGATCGTATAAGTAATAAATGCCGGCGGTAAAGTTATTTTTCCACAGGGAATCAAATAAAGAATTCTGAATTGATTTTAGATGCTATATCAATGTTATTCATTCTTACTCTTTCCGAATATGGAGATTTCATCGCCCGTAATCAATATACAATGAATTTAGAAAGATACAATAGGAATACAAAGTCTTCGTCCGAAACTTACTAAATCTGCAAAAAAGCGGAGTGTGCAGTTTTTGGCGTCGCCTTTTTATCGACCAAGGTTCTTCTCCGTGTTATCGGCTGACTGTGCATTTAAGAAGATGCTAAACATGTTTTATTGGAACCGATAGCTTCGAGACGGTTGTAAAATAATTGCATTTTTATTTCGATTGCAAGCAACCACAATGCATTAGTTAATAGTGCGTTAAATATGAGTTGTTTTTACAGTAGACAGAAGAATTGTGTTGTCAACTGGAACAGAAAAGGACGAGTTTGTAAACAACTTTCATCTCTATCAGCAAAATTTTAGAAGAGAAAGTGTAAATATTCATACAACAGAATGAGATGGTGTGATATTTAGCATGTTTTACTGGAAGTTATTCCTTCTCCCCGGAGATTATCATGTAAAATGTCGGCATATAGTATGCAATTTTAAACCTTTAAAGTGTACGAAATATTATATATAGTTTATAACCTTTTTAGATTACAAAATGTTATATAACGTTTACACTATGTTATTACATGATTTACACTTTTTTATTATATAGTAAACACTGTATTATTATATAGTTAATACTATGTTATTATGTAGTTTACACTATATAGTATGAGCTACTTAAGTGCAATTATATGTAGTATACATGTATTATATATGTATTATATATGTTTTATATAATTATGTATAATATATGTATTATAAATGTATTATATGTGTTTATGCATATATAACCACAAGCTCCGCTAGCACATATCTCCCCTTATTCGTAAATGATCATATATATAGTGTATTGCTTTTTTATTCTCATTTGGGAGGTTAATATTTCAAATATCTCATTCCGTTGTTTTATATGATCAATAATGAGACTTACTTCACAGAATATATCACTGATGTGTGCTACAGAAATATTTTATATGAAAGTGCAATGAAGTGCCTCCATACATGTGGGAATTAGAAATGCAAATATATAGAGAAATCATGATGAGTTGATACTCTAGAGGAATATATTCTTATAAGTTTGATGATGAATTACTGTGATAACGAGACGCCATCTTTGTTGTCCCGAATTGATTTCATGTCTTATATGGTATGATTATTCACATTAACGTTTAAAATACATGTGTACATCATAAACACTGAAAATACGTTTAAATGTTTTACATATATCTAACTAAAATGAACTCTTTTCTTACAACATCGAAGTATCTTGTAATATATATGTATATGCACATGTGTTAACTATGTAAAATTTAACTATGCACATCTTATGCATGTTTATAAACACAATTGTATGCACATTTATACTGGGCGAAAACTAGTGGAGAAAGGTGGGTTAAATCAAATATAAAAACAATTTTGATTCATTCTACTTTTATAATCGTCCCTGAACGGTGAAGACGGGATAGTACGTCGTCAAATATATGTAAACAGTCCTATTTTTATATAAAGCCATCCTTTAGTCCTTAACAAACAAATTAGTTTACCACGGTTTTAAATATCACCATCATTTATAGCGCCATCAATCAATTTCTTTGAGCATTCATTTTTTTTCATACATGTATTTAACAATTAATTTTTTAATAAAACGTTCACAATTTGAATTTCTGTTTTAGCAGTGAATTGTTTTTATTAATTTTATTAGCATTTACATATTATATTGAGACGATAAAATGGTCCATTTGTCATACAGTCGTAAAACGTTACACAATTTGCTGATCTGGCTCAAGTAGATGTTTTTCTAAGGATTGTCGCCGCCCCCTGTCTTTATATGAACGATTTAATATGCTACGACCGCTCCTTCATAATTCTCAATTAGCTCAACTGCTTAAGTTAGAACTATTATTTGTAAAATGCTACATGACGATGTGTTCTTATTGCAGTGGTTTTATATTAATTGATTTCATCACAATAGTCATTACGTTAGAAATACAGATGTACGGAGTCTATGTATAGTATATTTTCCTGTTATAAAAGAAGTACTAAAACGAATATCAATAAAAACTGATACTGCTACACTAGCATTTTTCTCTACTCATATAATTAGGTCATAATGATCAATAGAACGAGGGACAATTTCATAAACTGATGTTTTAAATACATGCGAACCAATTATAATTTAACCTTGATGATATGATGATCTCGTTTGCAAGACTCCTCCGAGTTTTTGTCACGTCATATCTTTCACAAAGAATCCAAATGTGTCTGATTTCTTAAGAACTGTAGGTCAGGTTATTGAAATATATTTGGAAATAAATAATTTTACTTCTTTTAGTGATAAATGTTTATATGTTTACGTTTTGAGGTATTGACTATAATTTACCTTACAGCGACATAGTAACACGTTGTTTATTGATCTATTATTACATGGTAATGAAATAGATATAGTCTAATGTATTATGCTGATTGACGCGTACATTATTAAAATGTCAACATAGTCTGTTCTACTCACTTCTTACTTATATTAATATTATATATTATCAACGAAAAAAACATCTGTTTAATTAATTACACCTGATACGTTTTATTAATGGAAATTGCAGTTTTAATTTAAAGCTTCACCAAATGTGCCATTAAATATATAAATTGTTCTTTGCAGGCAGTATGGTAAATTATTAGTTACCTACAGTATGGTATATGATCAGAGTATTATTTTAACCATAATTTTATAATAAAATTGTACGTAATTGTGTTATATCTTATACATAACTTGACGGCTACACGACGACTTGAAATAAATATTTAAAGTCAGTACACACGTGTATAAATTAGATAAATACAACTCTTATAAGGCATGGTTTTACATGGTAAAATACTTTACAAACAGCGATCTGTCATCGCGATAACAAAACCTTGATCTTAAACTGCATATTTTACAGTGACATTGAATTTTAGACATTTGATATATTTACTGTTCCAAACTCGGTTATCTCGTTTTAAAATTGTGATGCTATTTAAATTTTAATGAACTGAATTAGGTTTTAATTTTATCTGGTAAATATATAAATATACGAGTATATATCCGGTGATTGTGCAATTAACGCCTGGTTTTTATATATGTGAATTATTTATCTTACCATAAATAGGGATGATCAGTTATTCAGTTATTTAAATGACCTTAAGTTATGGCAAGTATTTAATATTATCTTAAATTCAATGACTTTATGTGACATATAATACCACCAAAGGCTTTATGTTTTATTTAACAACTTATGAAGAATACGTACATCACGCGATATGGCGTTTTCTATATAATTATAATTTTGTTGCCGTCAAGCCGAAGGATATAATAATGCGACCCTCCTTGGATTTAATTGGCAGCTGCCCCAAGTAAAAAATTCCCTTTAAACTACTTCTATTTCATAACACTAAACTTCCCGTTAAAGAATCAGTGGGGTATATATGTTTTTATTGCTACTAGAACATGAGAATCTTTACTATATAACAATATCTGATTTGAAAACATTATAATTGATAAAACTATCAACAATATATAATGTAAATACTCACCACATGTAGATTTATTGCACAGAATTTTCTTTATATCCTTTTTGGCTCGTCTTATGGATTTTTTATTTTTAGTCGACACTGGCATAGCGGAAAGTTTAAAATATTTCATATCAGAAGTTTTATTAAGGAAAAAAATATATTCCGCACCTCTCTCTACATCAGCTATACAATATTCGGGACTTCGTTTCCCAAACTCCCCAATCGTTAGAAGACTCGAACCCCGCCGGTTCAAAAGTCTTCGACTTTTTAATAAAGACTCTCCTTTAAATACATTACGAAGTTTATTAATTGTTACTGTAGCATTATAATTGTTATCAACAGATGGAGGTAATGCTTGCGTTAATTCACCTATAATTACAATATCAGCCTTATAGGCACTGGACGCCGTGTCGTCAAACTCAGTCCCACAAGTTAGACACCACACACGGTGTAAACATAACAATAATCCAAGTAAAATAAACCGTAATCTAAACAACTTCATTTTGTCCTAAAATGTTCCTTCTCGTGTTATCATTCAATAATGACACTGACTTACTCTCACTGTACACTATAACATAGATTGTAAAATAAAATCCATAAGAAAATCCTCCTATTTAATGGCTCCGTCTCTGTTCAAACATTGAACACACACTGACTAGGTACGTTTACTCGATTGGAACCGAGTCACTCAATATCAGTTTATAGTTATTTAGCTTAAGCTGAATTCATATATAAGACTAGACATGCTTTACTACCAACCACTACTAAAATCGACGTCAGTTCGCGCATGCGCAGCCAGTTTTAAAGATAAAAATAATGATATACCTGTTGAATATTATACCTCAGGCTGGTCTGTCTTAAATACCAACGATAGTTATCTTTCTCACTACACGTGATTTTTTTTTCGGAATAAATTAAGTGTTTAAATAAAATTAGTTAAGTATCAATATAATATAACCCATTTTTCCAAATATTAGAATAAGTTTCAATTAAAGTTGATACGCGTTAATCGGTTCATCATTATTATTTATTATCGCAATTATCAATATATATTTTTCTTTACGTATAGTCCATGGAAAACGCTAACGTTAAACTGAAAGCGATTCAAAATTGCAATATCTACAAATACATTGGATCCGTCTGGCAGTGGATAAATTGATCCAGTCGAGTTATAAGAGAGGAAAAAAACATACAGCGTTTCCAGTGCATTGATTTAGTTCTTTTATACTCAATATTCGCGTTAGATTTGAATTCGCTCTTCATCGGTTTGTTGAATCGATAGAGCATAACAGCTAACCAGTTCTCTCCACTCGTCGACTATAGAATATACTTAGCGCAACAACTTGCTTACAATGCACCATTCTGTGAATGAAACGCGAGAAATTTGTTAAAATCTAAGTTTGTACATATCTGAAGGCTTCTTCTCTCCCACACTATCACCCTTCAACTCTCCCACACAATCACCCCTCAGTGTACTTCCTGCCCATTCATAAGCCCGTGTGTTAAAGTTTCTAAATGAAGATTTAAAAACAAAAAGAAATGAAGAGAACATGTGAAATGTCCACCTTCCATCCTCTATTATCAAATATTAATTTTCATTTTGAATTAGTTAACGCGTAAATTAACATAACGAAACAGACATTTCAGCACAAACATTTCTCCAAACATCGTCATTCAAATAAATAAATACATGTACACATATTCTTACATTCCACATGATCATGAACTACATTGTAATTTAAAAGTTATAAATTATACTCAATTTTCTTCAACATCTACATTGAGGTCAATAAGCAAAGAAACATTAAAATAGTTAGTGCGGATCGTAACTGATTTCCGTTAAAAGCATTAAAATGCATTTCATATTTGGCCATCCTGCACAATATATCTAAAAGATTGTGCTGGTAAACGGAGTATGCGAATGATCTTAAACTTTGCATTCAAGTTATTAGAATAAACTTTCATCAATTGGTAAAAAAAATCTCGAAAAAAATTTCAGTTCCATGATGTAAAAATCCTTAGCTTGTACGATAAACCTTTCAACAAAAACTGCAGTTACGTTTTTTTCGTCAAAAGCCACAATTCTAAATTAGTAATAACGACCTCATAAAGTCAGACATTACATATTTATGTCTTTATAATTAGTTCTTTTTTTAAACTCATAAATATATTAAAATCTAGGAGTAGCAATGCAATTATACAGGGTCTGCTTTTAAAGGGCAATTAAAGACTAGAAAAAATTGACAAATGCAGAAAACATTTGGCAGATGAAATTAATTCTCTAATGAATGTTCAGATATTTTGGTATGATCAAATACTGTTCTATTGTTTCTTCCGAAAAATAAACATACCAAACCTTAACATACCTGAATTATTCAACAATTACAATATTTGCCATAAGTCAATCTCGTAACATTATTTTGCGTGCATTACTGCAATTATTAGAAGCGATTACTTGTATTTAATTCCCCGTAACACGGAAACATCTTGCACCATGTTCTTCTGCTATGATTAATTAAACTATTTTTAAATTGATCCAGTAACACTGACTGATTTCATGACTGAACTATTTTAAATATAATTCAATAACAACAGTAAGTTTTCATGATTTAACCTTTGTGTAACAGTAATAATAGTTCAGAGATGGCGGTGACCCCCATTTTTTCATCTTTTTGTTTCATTTATGAAACTTCTCATGTAAAGTTTAGTTTAAGTCTTTTCCTGGTAAAAATAATTACAGTACTCCCATAAACATGTTTCAATGTCAGCCACCTGTTAGTACATTACAGTATACTATTCTTCAGTTTAACTTCAAACAGTTAAAATCTGTTATTCTGTTAGAAAAATGTGAAAATGTCATTAAAATGATCGATATGGAACAATTTGAATTTATTGAAATAAAGAGTGACTTAAATAAACAAATCGTTGATTTTTTTTAAAACGTGTGTACATTAATATCTTATACACCCGGATTCAAACTGTGCGCCTATTTTAATAAACCGGATCAGCTTATTCAGATAAATATTGAACTTAAATCCAATATTCATTCAAAATATATTCTTGTTTAATCAATATGTTTGAAATCTCTGAAATTAGGTCTACTAATGTGAATGAATTTTGACAAGCGGTGTTATCAATGGACTAAAGTATATTAACAATGTTCATTCATGATTAATAGGGCTATACACAACTATATGATGTACACAGTAATCTCCCCTGACGTGATAAAGTCTCGATGACAATACGGTGTGACAGTGGTGACCTCTTGAAACTTTAGTTATATATACACCTGTGTGTTTGTTTACTTGTCATTCATGATATTTAACATCCGTAACATATGATAAAACAATTTTAATTGATTCGCATGAATTTAAAACATCAGCTTCTGTTTTTCATCATCTTTAATTGATACATTAAGAAGTGGAAAAAGCATGTGCTTCTATGTAATTTATTGTTCAATTTCGAATTCAGTTAATATTCTGAGTAAACTTCTTCTTATTACTAGATATATGGAAGGATTATGATATCATATATTTTATACTCCACTATAACAACGCACTTTGGAGTCGAATACACTTGGGCAAAAACCTAAAGTGCGGCACTTTGGGGTCAAACGCATTTTTGGGTCAAAATCGAGAAATGAACCCCAAATGCGTCAGTATGCTAGGTATCAGTGCACTCTGGTTTCCAAAATTGTTAACTGAGATCTGCTAAGATATTGAGAACTGAATTATCTTGAAATACATGTATTTATTGTGGAGCAGCAAACTGAAAAATGTATTTCTTTCTTATTAAATATAAGTGATAAATGTCCTTTTTGGATTTTACCATTGTAAATATCACAAAAAAATGTGACTATATTACAAAGTACTAAAATTGTAATTGTAGTTCTAGAAATAACAGATGTTTAGACGAGCATTCCGTTCTGTCAGTCATTTACTTAATATGTTCCGATGTCATATTAAATTCAAAAACCAAAAAATCATTATGTGTTTAAATAAGTTACTCGTATTAGTAACTTTCATTATTGTAAAGTTGCGTGAGGGCTACAGCCAACAAGACAATTTAACAATTTTCCTAAATGTTTGAACAATGTTTGAACCAATGGAATGAAAACGAATACAATGTTGAAAATCAGTATAATTTTAGGAAAAAATACATGTAGTTTGTAAATCAATTTATATCTTCATGGAATGACCATGATCACTCGATCTGATTCATATATACATTATTTGTAAACTCCATCATGAGAACACGGTAGATCATTATCTGTAATCAGTGGTTACACTGTAATAAGTATAATAATATTTCATCATTAAAATATGGTTATACGGTGGATTGTATATCGTTTATTAATATGTAGGTATACGGTGTTTCGTTTTACGTTTTTCATCAATAATTTGTGATTATACGGTAACTCGTATATCTTTCATCTTTAAACTGTGAGCATACGGTAACTCATATATTTTCATCTTTAAACTGTGAGCATACGGTAACTCATATATTTTCATCTTTAAATTGTGGGTATACGGTAACTCTTATATTTTCATCTTTAAATTGTGGGTATACGGTAAGTCGTTTATCTTTCATCATTAAGCTGTGGGTATACGGTAACTTGTATATCTGTCAGCATTAAACTGAGGGTATACGGTAGCTCGTATATCTGTCAACATTAAACTGAGGGTATACGGTAGCTCGTATATCTGTCAACATTAAACTGAGGGTATACGGTAGCTCGTATATCTGTCATCATTTAACGGTGGGTATACTGGTGACTTGTCTATCTGTCACCACCGAACGGTTGGTATACTGGTGATTTGTATATATGTCATCATTAATCTGTGGTTATACGGTAACTCGTATATCTGTCATCATTGAACGTTGGGTATACGGTAACTTCTTCATCTTTCACTTGCTTAAAACTACCTTTTTCAAATCTATAAAGTAAACTCGCTTTTAATTTTAATACAGTTTTGACATCTCATTTCATTATGATCTTTCCTCATACATATAGTCTGTTTAAACGCACGCAGTGAATTTTGGAATTTTGTAATAATTCAGTTAATACTTGAAAAAATATCTGGAAAAAGGTGGAACAAAGAAAGTCGCACCTGCATAACAGGTATCCACTCTTACATCTGTATTATACTCAAGCAAATAAAAATAAATTTACTTAAGTTTGTTCTACATGATCAATTATTAAAGTTTGAATATGAATATGTTGGTCATTGACCTTTAAAAGCTGCAGTATGAAAAATAAAGAGCAAAACATTAAAACCCGTACAGGTATCTGTGATTTTGCTGAATATTTGATTGGAATCAATTATCTATGGCATCTAGACAGCGATATTGCCTGTCTGCTTTACTTAGTTTAATTAGAAAACCAGATACACTTTCCTAATTTGGAAACATTTTTATTGCTGTTTGTTAAATAATGTAGACGTGAAACATATTTAATTTAACACATGATGCGGACTTAATGTAGGGACTTTTTTTAATTCTAAAACCATACTCTGCAGGGACCAAAGTCTTTAGTCTTTGTCAAAGATTTGGAATTGAATTGAATATACGGTTGGCTGACTAACTTGAAACTCCCACCTAGATGTCCTTAAATTAATAGACTGTTCCAACATATGAAGTTATACCATTACAGAAAACATAAAATGAAACATATTCATGGGCGGATTTAGCAAATACTGAGCTAGCTCATATGTTTATAACACAAATAAATTTCTAGAATTATGACTGGCCTAAACACATTGTATACTATGCCGTATAAACCGTGAAGAACTGAAGCATGCATATATAACTTATTTCTAATATCGTAGACGGTTACCTACGTGTGTTCATAAAATTTATTATTGTGTTTTGATCTTTCTCGATTCAAATGTCATTACGTCAGAAAAATAGTTAGAAGATGATGATTTGAATTACTCTTTATTGCGGAGCGATAACGTAGCCGTTGATAGCATGAGTCTTTTCTCGCATTTCTTTGAAGACAGTTGGAGGCTGCTGGGTTTTCTTTTGAACTTGTCGTCATTAACAATTTGCTTTATTATAAATACGTTATACAAGTT